ACTGAAGAAAACAAGAAAAAGGAGCTCACCATACTTTCGCGGGTTATGCAGTTATAATAGTATTTAAATCCATCAGGACATGTGTGCTCTGACCAATTACAGGATATGTGAAAAGTCATGTGCCGGGCTGATGGAATAGCTATTGATACCACCGATGACATAGTTGTAGCTGGCGCAGTAGGAGGGCTGGATGCTGATTGTGTCCTGCTATTCTGTAGAGATTGCAGAACGCAAGTGTAAATTGTAAACAAGTAAAAAAGAAAATGCTCAACAGCTACACCACAAATGATACGTGAATCCTTTTTTCACCAAATTTGCTCTATTAAAGGCTTTCTAGTGCTTCTAATTCTACCACTCATAGATATAAAAGATTCACAAAGACTGAGAACTTGCAAACAAACAAAGTGCAAGGCTGGACACTTTTATCATATGAAGCATTTTCTAAGTTTCAATTCCTTTTAATGCTAGCCAAGTAAATGCTCTTCACCTATACTATGTAGTATGAGAGTGAATTCTCCGAAGATGCTGAAAGTGGTGTAAACAATGACTGAAAGCTCAGCTTACTAGATCTTGTACCTGTCTGAGAGAAGATGGTGATTGTCGTAGAGGAGTTTGAAGCAATTGTTGGGAGATGGAAGTGACAGGCAGCTTTTGTTGATCAGCAAGATCAGACACACCTTGCCTCTGCAGGCTCAGTGGTGTTCGTGTGGCATCTGCTTGGGAATTCTGCTGGATAGGAGGCGAATCAGCGACAATTAAAGAGGTTTGAAGCTGCTCAATCTGTTGAACCTAAATATGTTCCAAGACATCAGTGGCTTTTGGGTGCTGGCCCTTGCTAACCAGTAAGTTGAACAATTTTTTAAACAATATAAAATATTAGTTTGGAGTAGAAATAAATTTATATCAGATAAAATAACCTGACTCTGAATTTAAAAGAGAAACTAAGATTATGGGCACCTGTTGAGGTGAAAATATTGACACTGCAAGGCTCGATTGTGTAATGTTTGTACGATCAGCAGGGATGCCCATAATATCAACCTAAGTTTTAAAAAGAATAAGAATGTAGATGAATAATATACTTAGCAGCAAATCAGCAAACAACCGCATCGTAGAGAAACACACAACATTGGCAAGAAAACTTAAAAGGGTTATGGTAACTTCAGATAGTAACATGAAGTTGCCTTTGAAACCTATGTGCTTCCAAACCCTTGATTACTAACCTGAGAAGAAGGTCCATCTGATTCTTGACTAATTAGTCTTGAAGTATTAGGTGGCAAATGTCCATCCACTAGCTCAGTATGGTCAGGCTTTACCCTGCATTGAGAATTATTGTTATAATATTGAAGGAAATTGCTTGAAGTTATGAAAAGGAGCATGCAAAAAGAGAAATTAAAGTTCAACCAAACACTAGAAACAAAAATAAACTTCAACCATCTTTGGCTTCAGGGTGAACTTTTCTAGCCCCAGAAACAGGGATGAACACGCTTGAAAATATGAGAAGAAATAACTTACTAAACAAGGTTTTTATTTCTACAACCCCCAATCTATAGTTATTCTCAAATTTATCTTTCAAATCTTCATATTATCAATCTACCTTCAAAATCACCTCAAACTTGTTAGTTTACTCCTCAAGTTAACTTTTTGTTAAATTTCAAAGCTTCTAACAGAATTAGTGCAACATCTCATTCCACCATTAACCGTATAACCGTTACAGCTAGGTTTTCCATTGACATAATCAAGTCAAATTCTCTTAGCTATCGTGTTTGACTATATTTTTGGGGTTAGTTTAGTTAAATAGATATTTTATATGGGTAATAATGGGTTTATGTCAAAAGTGGTCAAACTGCAAGCCAACCCAATAGGCTCAACTCTCTATAGAACCTGACCTAAACCATAAGACATCAGATTTTAGATCCCTGGAGTCATATATGCTGGCCGTCCAAGGTAGGAGAGGGGAAATCTAGTTTTTGATGCCATTCGTCAAGGTAGGAGCACCTTTCATTTGTATATTAATCTCAGGCAAGAACCACTTGCTGTCTTCCGCATTTGAATCCTTATTCCTGCACATTATACATAAGATGCAGATGTTTCTTTACATAAGATGCAGATGTTTCTTTAAATTTTATCTATCAGTTCATGTTATTCCCTATGTCACTTTTCCTATACACTGATAGCTCCGGTAAACCCTGTGATCGTACACCGTAAGGACATGAGAGTTGCTATTAGGAATGTTAGGGCTCTGAATTCCCATATCTTTGACATTGATTATGTTAATATTAGGTTTTTATGGTTAGTCTCTTGACGAAAGATTAGACCTTTATCATAGTTTTGACGTTTCGACGCAAAACCTAGTTAGAACAAGAGTCGGTTTTACAAGCAGTAAGTTCATATTCATGTGGATTCCCCATCTAACATCTTTGATAGAATCACTAGAATCTGGAGAAAAGATAGACTTTTGATCTGTAGGCAAAACAGCTGAACCCGTGTCAGCCGGCTGGAACCCCTGTTCAGCAGCTTTATATCATTATCAGGATAGTTGACAAATTTTCCAGGATCTCAATCCTCTGTTGTGAGCATTCCGCCAACTGGACTTTCAAGTCAGCAGCGTGAATGCCGACTGGTTGTTACCCTCAGCCGCCTGAAAACTTTAGTGCACGTGTTTTTGATGAGTTGTTTGATACTATATCTTATCCATATATTATTGTATGTTCTTAAAACTTTAACCACACCTTGGTATGTGTGTTATGAATGTGTTCAACTATTATTTGTCACTCTTCACATTCACAATAAACTGGCCAAACCAAACTATATAATTATCTGTGAACTTTTCGCTTGAGTCTCTTATGCCCAACTCTATTATTGAGTTAATATCATTATCATATGGCTTAAGTGCCTGAATGGGCAATTATTTATGACCCTATCCCACTTCAGCTGCACATACTTACCCCTGTCCTTAACAATTACACATGAAGCCTTGGACAATATGAGCTAGAAAATAGGACGCTTGTCACGATCAACGTGGTAGATTTTCAGCTAAGATGGTGGATGGTGCAAGAGGGTGCAAACTTGCTGCCAATCGGGAATGTGGCATGATACGTTGAGAAAATACAACTTCGTCAAGTAGTCAAGAGCCTATTAGTCTAACTCCTAGAATTTCTATATTTCACGCTAAGAGTTGGGTAAGGATATGAGTTTGTTTGAGAATGGAGACTTTCTTTCCTCATTGTCTTGACGCCGGGTTCTCCACTCAACAATTGGTCATGCAATATAGAAAAGCTAGGACGAGATAACATTGTCTGTAATCAAACAAAATAAGTTATTATGAAAACTTGGGTTTCTAAAATGGGGAAATAGAGCAATAATTAGACTTATTTGATGTGTTGATATTTATTATTTCCATTATTCATATTTTCACTAGTGACCCATTGGCTTTGGGAATATTCCGTGTTATTATTTTGTCCGACTTAAATAATGCTAATTATTGACCAATTTCAAATAACTTATAACCAATTAAAAGTATGCAAGGACTTATATTGTATGTGCATGCTTGTATCTCCTAAGTATATCATGTGTTTGTATTTTTAAGCTTTGCTGAATGTTGATGTTGTCTAGGTTGTTTAGTGACTTAGTATTTTCACAGACATCTATATTACCATATTCTCACCATGAGAAATACATTGAGTAGGAAATACACTTGCACATATTGAGGATTTTAGTTAACCCTTTTGTGGTGTAGATTTTTATAACTTATCCTGATTATGCATTATCTTCCCGTATTCTTATTTGTGTCAATCGATTCTCTATTTTATTGTTGCTGCTTATTCAGTATCTCTTTTGGCCTTTTCATTTATTTGATTTTATTTGTTATTGTGAATTATTATTATTCACAAGTCTGTCTTTTGACTTCATTCATTTGGATGTACTTGCTGAACCTGTCTAATGATTCATCTTTGTCCCCCTAGGTGGTTGATGAATTTCGCAGTAGCGAGTTGCTTCAATCGAGAACATGGCTTATGCAGGTAAATGGTTTCATTAAGAGCAAAATTTTCTCTTAATTCCACAATAAAACTAACTATTTGATCTATTTTCTGAAAAAGCTTTGTAATATGTAGTACTAATAGGCTTAAGCATATTCTCTTGATGACGTTATTATCGAGGTGGTGTGTTGTTGGCCTAGTCACATGCCGTTTAGGTCACGAGGTGTGACAATTAGCGTCAAATCCCTTTCCTACCGTCAACCAAAAAATAAATACAAAAAATGATAGGTGAGAGAGAGATGGAAGAAGGAGAGCGAGCATGGCCACCTCGGTCACCATTTTCCTCTTCTTTTTTCTAAATTAATTTAGATGCACTACTTAGTGAAGTCAACTAACTAAGCATGCCAATATTTTAAAAACAAAGATAGTACAGAGGAATATAACAAGTATACTCTATAATAGAGAACTTGAGGGGTGCCTGTAAATAGGGGGCAATCGCCAAATATGAAGATTTGGGGGTAAATTTGAAAATACCACGAAGTTGAGGGTATAAGTGAAAACCTTAAATGGTTTATGACAATTGGCCTTTAAGATTTTCCCCTCTCGTCCAAAACTTCCCACATAAAGAAACTGTAACTCTAAATGTTGACCATAGTGTTTACTTCAACTAGTAGCAAATCGTCAGTCTAGAATATGCTCCCTTTAAACAAAAATTTGACAATAAAAATTTTCATGGAAAAGCACCATGATGTCAGTCTTGTCAAACAAGAGTGATAATAATTTCATTCTCAGTGAGACAACAAATCAAAATCTTAACAGTTGTTTCCTTCCTATACAAGAATACAAAAAGTTGGTGAAAAAACATTACAGGTTCGAGTTAAATTATTAGACAATAACAGAAACTTCACATGTTTAGGCCCTAAAAGCAATTAATGGTGCAATAGTACTGATAATCCAACAATAGTTAGCCTAAGAATTTACAAGTAACTGGCTAGGGACACAAGGGGCCTACATAGGTGATGCTCTGCGGTGGTTGCCTACTTTGCTTTGCTTATACACTATAGTATCCCATTAATCATACACTTAAATACACTTAAGAGATGCATGTACATAGTATGATAAAGACAATCTTATGGTCACCCCAATTAGTATCATACTTCTACACAACCAATGGCCTTAGTATATTTATACTATAAAATAGGTAAGAAAAACTATAAAAAGCAACATCTCATCCTCCAAGCTCTTATGTCATTATTAATTTTATAATATTCTTAGTGGGTAAAGAGGGGGCGAGAGGGAGGTGGAAAAGAGAGACAACTCACAAAAAGAGGAAACAAGGGATGAAATAGGGAGAACAACAGCAGCAGCAGCACAAAAAGAGGAAACAATGGATGAAAGAGGGAGAACAACAGCAACAAAGCCTTTATTCCAAATGTTTGGGGTCAGCTACATGAATAATGTTCTTCCAACAGCAATCTCAAATTCGCACTCCTGATCAATACATTAGCCAAGCAACATCGTTACCCACTGAATTGACTAAAGTTTTGGGAGGAAGAAGAAAAGAGGATGGTGGGCCATTAATGAGAAGATCTGGGATTTTTGGGGTTTTCATATAAGTTTCTGTTGATTTGGGTTTGACCAGCATAATTTAAATAAGCAGTCCCATATAAGTTTATTTGTGCACTTCTCCCATCAATATTCCTGTGCATTATGATGGATAACAGACTGATTCTGCCCAACTAACAGCAGAATTGGGCTGAATCAGATTATGTGATTGCGTAAACAAACACAAAGTCCAGTTTTCAACATTGGTTCTGATTAAGTGAGCTTAAATTTACCTGTGTGATACTACTGCTGGAGGAGAGTGGAAAACAGGACCCCGAAATGTAGGATCACTCCTATATCCAGGAATATTAAAACAATAAAAGTTTGAAGGAAAACACATTTTCTAATAGGAATTACATTGACAAGGGAGGCTTGTTAAAGTAACATCTCAGACCTCAATTCTCCGCCCTTGGGCTTTTTAGGATCTGCAAACCGAACAATTAACGGCTGATCACATCCCTATTTGCACAAGAGAATATGAATTCACTGTCTGAAAGTTTCGGTCAAGAAATCATAGTTCCAGTAATACCGCAATCTTACACTCATCACATAGGTTCCATGCAAGTCACTTATAGCTGCTGCTGCCATCTCTCTATTTGCCAGTTTTACAAAGCAGCATCCTTCAGATATCAGTTACAGAGGTAAATCAGAACTAAAAAGGTAAATGACATATGCATGAACAAGTAAATTCTTATAAGTTTTATAGGACAGACCACGGTTTTGCTTCATATCATCCTTCAAAATATATATATCTTCAACTCGGCCATATGGTGAAAAGATCTGCAGAAACCGTGTTTCAATCAGGTTCAAAACATGTACAGAGAATATTAAGTGACCCGACCTAAAAAATTACTTCGTCTTTTTGATGCATTATGTGTTGATAATAATTCTTATCTAGAAAGGCATATTTTCAGCTTATAATGGTGCCAGACTTCTACGAAAGGAATAAAACATTTACAATCATGTTTCTTTCTTATGGACGCAAATAGGAAATATGTAACATCAACAATTTCAAAATGAAAGCTAGGAAAGATTACCTAGACTTGCCAGTCAAGCAAATACAGAAATCTTGAGGTCATTCAACCCTTCTAATTTTGTTTAAAAAAATGAGGTGGGAAGAAAATCTTACTTCCTCAATTTCCTTTTCAGTGGCTTCTTTACTGAGCGATGCAACAAACAACTTGTCAAATGCACCTAATATGCAAATTCAATTTAGAAAACAAACTAAACAGAAATTGAGATAAAACATTTATCACGTTAAAATAAATAAGATACTGCAGAGAGCCAGAGAGTATTATACATGCATATGTTAAAATATTATTGCATATATTGGCAGAGCTATTAGCTATCACCAGCCAACTGTTTACTGGTTGATTATCTTCATCAGTGTGGAGCTTGGGTGTGCACGCTTGCACATATAAACCAAAATGCGCATTCAAGATGCCTTCAACTAAGAACCAAACTATGTGCCTGACTTTCCAGAGCATATTTTACATGGATAGGTTCAAGGATTCATTGCATATTGGCAGAACTACATACTACAAAAAATTAAACTATTCACTGTGTTGAGTTGTTATCTTAATCATATGAATCTGTGGATGTGCATGCTTGCACATGTAAACCGAAATGTGCATTTCATTTGCCTTCAATTAACAAACGATGAATCTCTCAACCTTGACTTACGTTAATAATTTTAACAGCCTGATCCAGTTTAAAAGAAAAGTTAAACGTTTAATTCAATGTTCTCTTCTGCTGCAACAGAACTTGATTGTCAAAAGTTCAGAAAACAAATATCTCATACTATGTTACGAAGGGTTAAGTTTAAGTAGTAACTTAACCAATAAATAGTAAATCCTAGGTAGTTTGCACTAAAGTGCCGACAAAAGTAGCCGTCTGATGCATGTCAGATGCAACTCTAGCAGATAAGTCTTCGTTTTGGGTACTTCTCTAAGGATCCAGAAAATAATCCAGATTCCAGTTTTCAATTAATGTAGATAAACAGCACGGACTAGTTTGTAACTGTTGTATTGTGAAATAAACTTATTTATAAATATGAGATTGGTTTCATAGTTGGTGCGTGATCCAGTGACAACGTTACACAAATACAAATAAAACATTATTAAATTTTCATAAGCATCAATAATCAGTATCTACGGTTTTTTGACACTTGGCAATTTCCTTATACTAAATTTCGACTATAAAATAAATATTGTTATTTAACTACTTAGCATAATACTCCAGGTAACAGTATTAACAGACATAATTAAATTTGTTTGGTGTTCCTTCATGTCGAAGTCTTCAAGACTAAGACTTCACACAAATTTGTTCAGCAATTGCTGATTCCGCCAAGGAGAGATTTTTATCACCTAAGCTAAAGTAGCATCCACCGATTTTGTCTATGCTAAGTTTGCTTCTCTCTTCCTTTTCTTTACTATTCCGTTTAGTTTCTTCTCGACTGTTGTTATGGGGTCCTTTATATGCAAAGTTATTATAATAAAGGAAATTTCAGATAACCCCCTATTTGTAGCATTTTCTTAAATAAATGTTCACACCATGATGTCATACATACCTATTACTTATATCAACATCGTATGATGTCTTTCTTCAAATACAAAGTATTCCTGTGAATGTTAATTAAAATTTAGTGGACAAATTAAAAAAGTGTTAGTATTATTCTATCTTAACTCAAGTTCTATTTCTATAAAAACTTCCATCACTAAACCTATCCCAAGCCCTTATCCTTCTCCCTATCTTTAACCCTTATAGCTACTCAAAAAGGTTTGAATGATACATATACATTTCAATTTATATCATATGGGAATCAGATTTTAGCTTGCCGAATGTCAAACATTTCATTCTTGAGTTAGGAAGGGAATAGTACTGGATATGAGAAGTACCCAAAAAGAAGACTAGAGTATTGCGAAAGGTATTTTTGATTTATATCGCATGGGAAATGGATTTTAGGTTTGCCGAAGGTTAAATATCTGAAGCGATAGAACTAGGATTAGGGAATTGTACTAGAAGCAACATCAAAAGGTTAGTGTTAGGAACAGGGTTCTACTATGACTGGGGTTAGGATAAGTACAAAGATAAAACTTGGATCAATATCTGGCACTTAGGTTGGTATTAACAACGAATTATAATTAACTGTTAATAAAATATCAGCAATATGAGTAAATTTTAGGAAAAACAGTAAAATCTTTTATGCATAATGCCTATCAAGGTTTTAAATATCGGTTATTGAGGATTTATCGGACGGCCAAAATCCTTATCGGATAGCGGAAATCGGGGATAAGTAGTATTTATCGGAGTGATATACTGGATGGTGTTTATATATAATATAATAACTAAAAAATGTAATCTAACAATGCTTAATGAATATAAATATACCAAAATATAAATCATCATGCAACTAAAGTAAATCCCGCTGGAGTTCGAAGGCGAGGCGAGCGAAGTTCACGGAGATTCACGAAGGCAAGGCGAACGACGAGATTCACGAAGACGGAATGCGAGGTGAGCGACGAGGTTGACAGAGGGTAGGCGAGCGACGAAGTTCAAGGTTTGAAGTTCACGAAAGCGAGCGACGAAGAGGCGCAGAGAACATGAGATGGAGATAACGGAGGAAGAGGAAGAGCCTTATGAGAAAAGGAGCAGCCTCCAGAGACGAAGTTTAGGATTTGAAGGTCGGATTCACGAAGTTTCAGGTTTTAAGTTTTATTTTATTAACAAAATGGGTCGGGTCTGGTTTAAAAACTCAACAATCCAACTCAAAATGCCCGACCGATAATCCCAATAATTTAGCATTACTTATCGGTTGATAAGTGCCGATAACACTGATAACTCGCTGATAAACTCTCCAAAACGATAACCGATTACAAAACCAACTTATCCTAGCGGAGAGCTCCCAAATCCGATAACTCGGCCGATAATATCGATTATCGGCCGTTATTTAAAACAATGATGCCTATGACCTCTTTTTAATTAATGAAAGGGCATTTAGTGTAAACTTGTATATATGTGGCACTCTGATGATTTTATAAATATCAGGAAGTTATTTGATTGTAGAACAGAAAAAATATATATATACCGTCTGAAGCTGCCTTATTCCTTTTTCTGGACAAATATCCTAAAAACAGTATAAAAAATAAACTCTTAGTTTGTGCAGGTATGCCATGAAACCTCTCATCCACATTATCCATGCATCTTTGAATCCTAAAAGTCCTCTCATTACCTTTTTTTTTGCATGTAGAATGAATTTATGGACAATGTTAATAAGAAAATGAAAGCTCATTCTCCTTACTTTCATCATTCACCAAAAGAATCATAATACTTCACTCTAAAGTTTAATACATTAAAGCAATCAGATTTGCTTTAAAAGTAATTTCATCTAATTTAAGGATGTCTTCAAGTACTTTAACTATTCGCATTGTTTTTTTCCCCTTAGGTTTTCTTTTCTTCTCCTTTTATCATCTTTTTTCTTATTTCTCATTCATTTTTACTTACTATTTATCTTGGGATGTTAATTCTTTAGGGTATTGTTAGTTTGTTTGTAAGTGAAGAAACAACCTCTAACTGCGCGTAATGCCAATAACTGAGTTAGCGATAATCAAGTGGTTAGATAGCATATGTTTTTCCCACTAGAATACCAAATATTAAGAAATTAGTTATTACTAATTTACTTATTCTTAAATTTCTCAACTCTTTTTATCCACAACCTATTAGTGAAAGCTGATAGGGATTAGTATACCTGATTTTATTCGAAAGGGACTTGGCACCGTAGATCTCATTGAGATCTCGGATTTTATTTGATTTCTGATAATTCAGATTTAAATTAGTTATTGTTAGGATAAGAATAAGGTTATCGGTAGGGTTGAGATTGTTTGATTTGATTTGTTTAGGTATAAGCATTTACATGTTTTTAGATAAGACTTATCTTCTATTTATTTGAATCTCCGCAAAAGAGGAACTTTTATGTAATCGTCAGTGAAGTTGAATCATAAAATATTGATATCTAAAGTTCCCGGAGTGATTCCAACAGTTACTTTAATTTTATTTCCAAATTAATTTACACCATTAGATCTCATTCAAGTTCATCAAAACTTTCCTTCAATAAAACCCCCCTCACTAATTGCAGAGAACCCCCAAAATCCCCTACGTTTTTGTTTTTCTCCTCTCATGTCCAAAACAGAGCTCTCGCCTCCATCATCTTCTTCGACCTTGAACTTCATCATCTCCACCACTGATCATTGACAACCAATGCCGCAAAGCCATCAAACCACTACACTACAGATCCGACACCTTGATCTCGACTGTTGCCTCATCGCCATCCTTGCCAACAGAGTTCAAGATTGACCTCCAAACTCATCGAGCTTCAGACCTCTATTCCTCTTCAATTCATTTATGTGGTTTAGTTGTTAATCAGAAATGTTAATCTATTTGTCATATATTAAATTAATCATCTGTTTTGAAACTCCCTGCAGAATCCAGTTGATAGGCCTTCAAACACTAACTGCTGGATTCAAGATTCGAACCTACAGAACGTGCAAGATTCTTCACACCTTGGATATTGTTCGAATGTCATTTCTACATCATTATTACTGTCAGTCATTAGTTTATAAAACTTCAATATTTAAAGTTATTTTCCGCTGCATTTTTAGTCTTAGTTTGTGTTTACTTTGCATATTAGTTTCGTTTGATCACTTAGTCTAGGATTTGATAGACCGTGCTACGTCGAAAGGAGAGTTGAAAAATCTCTTGTGGATAAGTATTATCCTTTTAAGAAAGGTAAGCAAACTTTAAATAACCCTTATACTTTACCAATCTATCAAATAACCCTTGCTCCTTTAGAATGATAGCACCCTATAGTGGGTTAAAGAGTGATGACATAATGTGTCTCTATCTCGGTTTTTTAAGATGGATAAAATACCAAACATCCACCCTGTTGATATAAAAGAAAGAGAAGAAAAAAATATATTGTCATTGATTATGAAGAAGAGGCTAATACCCCATATTTATAGTGTTATACGCTTCGTAGAATCTATATAAAAGTAAAACTCTAATAAGGAAATCTATGATAGAGAAATCACCTAAAGAGAGAGATACTATATTGAACTAGACATCTTCATAGAAGGTAACCATAATATGAGACCTTCCAATACTAACGATAAATCTTTTGAATCTTCAAATACTATTTAGAGAAAAATAATGCATCAAAAGTAACCCTATGCCTAGCTCCACAGACAACCCTATCCTCGACAACACAAACTTTATCCAAAACCTAGTGTGAACCTTGTATGTCGTACCAACAAGTATATCTCTATTCCAAAGCAGAAGTCAAACACCTATTAAGCTGAGGTCAAGGGTTGAAGTTAGAACAAACCCTGGATAAGGTAGGCTTTAAGACTAGAAAAGATAAGTTCTCTTCTTTAACTCTTCCTATCACTCACCTTTTGTTTCTTTATTCTTTGTTCTTCTGCAACACAAGATACACCCCCACTGCTCAACCTGTTATTCTACTTAACTCATCCAAAATCTCAATTACTCATTCTTGAACTTCATCATTAAATTTGATGTCTTGGCAAATTAACAGATAATAAAATCAGCTGCTAAGGTCAGAATGTGGACTGTAAACCATGCATCAGTTTCTAATTACATCCCCAGGTCACATATCCTTGCAAGATGTGGATAGACTGATGACAAATTGATTTCAGATACTGAAGATTCATGTTTTTCTACCAGTAAAACAGATAGTCAGACTCGTTCAACCTTACCAACATAAACACAAGCTACTCAGTCACACACAAAAACAAACACATGCACATACACATTCATTAAAAAACCTACTTCAAGTTTCATTTTAAGATTCACTTAAAGCAAAAACAGTAGTGAAGCACTTGGAAATAAATTATCAAGGAACAACGTTACAGGCAAAGTAAAGTAGCTAGATAACAGAGAAAGATGTACTCCTCGAGGAAAACTCATCATATGCAAGGGCTACTTTGACCATTATTTAAAATAGATAATGTTAACAGGGTGAGGAAGTACAAGAAAACAGTCTTGGACGTGAAATACCAAGGCGCTCCCGTTCCCCATCTGCATACCTTACTTGAATGGGACCTGATCCCTGAAAAAAATAAAACAAATGACTTGCTTAATAAGACAATTGGTAGAAGTTGCTGCATATGTATAACACTTGCCCCAGGTAGCGTATACTGGTTATGCAAAGCTTCAATGGCCCTTTCTGCATCTCCCAACATTGCATACTTTATAAAACAATAACCTGTAAATCAAAAAGGTTATGTTTGTTCCTCGATTTTACATGACCCCAAACAAAAATCTACATTACCAGCATGTACGACTTAGACTGGTACTACCTAAACAAAGACATAAAGAAATAGAAGAAAATATACAACACTCGAGTAATGGACGGAGGTTTTGCAGAAGATGGAAATTGCAATTGATGCATAGGCAAATAATTGCTAAGTGCTTCTAGTATTCAACTAATACACCTGTTAGATGTGGTTAATATAGATCAGTATTTTCAAATAAAATAAGTAACAAAGACAGAAAATGGTCTCTTGTCAATAAATTCTAATAGTTTGCTTCATGTATTTATCATCATTTTTACGTGGATATCTGTAAACCCTAAATGACAGGAAAATATACATCATACCACTAAACATTATGACCTAATAACACTGCAAAAATTCAAGGTGTTCCTTTAGTCTAGAATGATAAAAGTGAAATGGTTGATAGAGTGGTCCAGGAGAAGTGAAGAACTAATCTGAATTCCAGATATAACTTCTATACACAAACAACTAAATTATTTCCATTCTGTTGATGCTTATTCTGGATGCACATAAAGAAAATTAGCAGAGAAATCTCTAGCACAACACAAACCATTTGCAGTGATCCAGGAAACAGATAAAGAAGAATAGCTGCTAAGGCAGATAATAACTCAAACAGAGAAACATTGCATCTTACTTTGTTGCTGGCCTGTTATCCGATCCTTGACAAAAATCACTTCACAAACATCCCCATGCTCCTCAAATAAGGGTCGAACCTGAGAGGAAACTTCTCTGTTAGTTAAACATCTGATATGATATGGGAAGCAATGTTTTAAATATCAGATATCAGGAAAATATCGGATGGCCAAAATTCATATAGGATTGCGGATAACGGGAAAATACCGGGGACATATAGTAAATATTGGAACACCATAACGGATGTTTGCATATATAGTATAATACACTAAAATGTAATCCCAACATACCTAACGAAATCTAAGCATACAAAACATAAATAATATATATTCAGGATAACTAGTCAACCTTGTAAAATAAACAAAAGTACAAATCAATGTTGAAACATTTCGTCTGATTTTTTTAGGCCAAAATATCATTTGATATAATAGAAAAATCATGATATCTCCCCCAAACATTGCCAAACGATCTATATTGTTTTGTGAGAAGCCATATAGAAGGATATCTCAGCCAACATATCAATTGATATGTCAACCACATCGGGGATGTATCCCACAAAATAGCCAAAAAGCGGTAAAGAATTTTAGAAAACATATCGGTTGTAGCAAGCGCTGTAAAAGGATATCTCGGGCAATATACTGGGCTATGTGGGGAATATTTAAAACAATGACGAGAAGTATCAACTTCTATATAGTTTTATAACATAACAAGGAGAAAAAGAGGAGCGCTAAATGGCAAGTAACTAGTATTTAGTGACCACACATTTGATTTTTTGCATATATATGACCTACCTCTTTGCTGTCAAAGAGAGTAGTTCAGAGGAACTGATTATAGAGAATAAAACTTGTGTCAAACTAGTAGTTTCATTTCCAACTTAAACTATTACCCTATAAAATCACGTTTCACTATTTGAATCCACACCTTTGGTTCGATGATATCAAAATTGAGTATCATCATCATCTTAGACGTATTCTGAGACCTAAAAGCACCAGCATTTCTTCTTAGGCTATCTTTTTCTTCTTTACAAATAAAAGTTCCATAGTTTGGAAAGACAATTGTTTCCTCTCCTGTTAGGGTGGTTACCTCACCTTCGGCTGATTTACTTCGTTATGAGCCATAAGTATTTCCCACTACATCAGAGCTCGCTGCAGTTGAATACAATATGAATACTGATCATCAATGGGAAAACAAGGAGGGAGTTCGCTATAATTACCACACCATGGTAGTACCAAAAATAGGATAGATGTTAGTTATAACGGAGAAGTGGAACATATGACGGTCAGCATAATGACAACTTTAGTTGAAGCCACAAGATTCCAAATCAATTTCATGAAAACTATAGATTTCATGAAGAAACTTATTCAAGCAAGCAAAGAATTGCTGTTGGAAGGACACGTTTAGTTCCTATTATTTAGGAAACTCTATTTTTCAGAAAATAATTCTAATCTTTGAATAGTTGACTTAGTTAATGATTTGTAGCGGTAGATTTCGAGTTAGTTTTCTATTTTTTTCTCTAACTAATTGTAACCTAAGTGTATATAAAAGAGGTTGATTACCTCTCATAATTATAATAAAAAATTGACGGGTAGGTATTCTGAAACGTACCGATTTCCACATGGTATTAGAGCTGGCCTCTGATCACCGAAAAAATTAAGGCCACCATGTCTGACGCTTCAAGCGTGGGTGACCAAACACTCGATTTTGGATCAGCAAAATCCTCTTTTTCGAAAAACACTCTCTTGTCAAATACTCAAGACAATCTTTCCTCTCAATCAATCACCACTCACAAACTCAATGGAGAAAATTATCTCTAATGGTCCCAGTCGGTCAAGCTGTTCATCAAGGACCGTGGAAAATTTGGGTTTCTGACTGGAGCAACACAAAAACCAAAAGAAGACCTCGAATCTATTAAAATATGGGAATCTGAGAATGTCTTGATTATGTCATGGCTAATAAATTCAATGGATACATCAATCAGCAAGACATACATGTTTCTTGCTACTGCTCAAGAAATCTGGGAGGCTGCAAAGGAGACTTTCTCAGATCTGGGAAATTCTGCTTAAGTCTATGAAATTGCTACACAGATTCGCAATACAAAACAAGGTAATATAAGTGTTCTACAATATTACAACACTCTCAGAACCCTATAGCAAGAGCTGGATTTGTTTTATGACTACGAATGGCATTGCTCACAAGACAGTGTCATATCCAAGAGGATGATTGAAGAGGAACGTGTTTTTGCTTTCTTGGCTGGGCTGAACAACGAGCTTGATGAGGTTCGTGGGAGAATTCTTGGACGCAAGGTATTGCCATCCACTCGTGAAGTGTTTTCTGAGGTCCGCAAGGAGAAAAGCAGACGGAACGTTATGCTGGGAAAAGAAACCCAAGAGTCCACTATCACTGAAACAGAATCATCAGCACTTGCAGCCAGAAGCAATCGATTATTTGCTACCTCCAATGGAGGGAATGACACTCGAAATAAAAAGGGAAACAGACCCTGGTGCGATCACTATAAAAAACTTGGACACACCCGTGAAAATTGTTGGAAATTGTACGGAAAGTCCTCTCATTTGAAGAACGAACAGTCAGACCAAGTAACTAGCAAAGCTCTTCAAACAGCCTCAGAGGAATCAACGCCCGAAAATGCTCCTCCGAAAGTGCTCATGTTTCCCTTAACAAGGAACAATTGGAAAGCCTTATGAAACTCCTAAATTCAACTTCCCTTCCATCTGCCTCTATTGCCCACAAAGGTAATTTTTCTCAGTCCTTCAGTGTGCTAACTGAGGATAAAACTCCTTGGGTCATAGATTCTGGTGCCTCAGACCACATGATAGGTTGTTTCTCACTCTTCTCCACTTATACTCCGTGTGCTGGTAACTTGAATGTAAAAATTGTTGATGGTTCATTATAACCACTATAGCAGGAAAAGGTTCAATAATTTTGTCAAAAAACCTAACCTTAAAGTCTGTCCTTCATGTTCCTTCGATTTCATGTAACCTTTTGTCCATTAGCAAACTCACCCATGATCAAAGCTGTGTGGCTAAATTTAGTTCTTCATGTCAATTTCAGAAACTAGCTTCGGGGAAGATGATTAGCAATGCTAAAGAGTGTGGAGGATTTTTCTACTTTGATAAGGAAGACTCAAATAGACAAAATTCAGTTTGCAAATCTTTTTCTGCTTCTTTATGTGAAAATAATATAATGTTGTGGCACTAAAGACTCAGCCACCCTAGCTTTCCATACTTGAAAATTTTGTTTCCATCTCTTTTCAATAATAAAGATCCGTCTTTTTTTCAATGTGAAGTGTGTCAGCTCTCCAAACATCACCGTATATCTTTTCCATCTCAGTCATACAAACATTCAACACCTTTTTTAATAGTACATAGTGACATTTAGGGTCCCTCACGAATTGAAAATTTTTCGGGGGCTAGATGATTTATTACCTTTATCGATGATCATACTAGACTATGTTAGGTATATCTCTTGAAGGCAAAATCTAAAACAGAGCAAGCCTTTAAAAATTTTCACTCGATGGTCAAAACTCAATTTCAAACTCAAATCTAAATCCTTAGAATAGACAATGGGAGTGAGTATTTCAAGGTTGTTCTTGGGCAATTTCTTCAAGGAGAGGGGATCATTCATCAGAGTAGTTGTGTTGATACCTCTCAACAAAACGGGTTGGCTGAGAGGAAAAACAAACACCTACTTGAGAATGTTAGGTCCTTAATGTTCACCACTAATGTGCCTAAAACTTTTTGGGGAGAATCTATCCTCACTTCATCATTTCTCATCAATAGAATGCCCACTCGGGTTCTAGGATACAAGACTCCCCTAGAAGCGCTTCAAAGTACCTATCCAACAAACCATCTGATTTCCAATTTACCACTTAGGATATTTGGGTGCACCTCATTTGTCCATATTCATTCCCATAACCAAGGTAAATTTGATCCAAGAGCCATCAAATGTGTTTTTTTGGGCTACTCGTCATCAAAAAAAGGATATAAGTGCTTTGACCCAAAAACTAGGAAAATGTTTGTTAGTATGGATGTTTCCTTCTTTGAGAATCAGCCCTATTTTACCAAAAACTCACTTCAGGGGGAGAGTGCGACCACAGAAGAGAGTTTTTTAAATTTTTGGGATACATTTCCTATCTCTGAAAGTTCCTAACCTACTTTTACCCTTCCATCAGATCAATCAGGTCCTGTCAGCCCTTCTATCCTTCCATCAGATCAACTAGGTCATCCACTGTTGTGTCACCAGAGTCTACTCCACTCACTAAAAAACAGAAATAGATGTCCAAAGTCCAGAATTACTTGTATATGAGAGACGAAAAAGAAAGAAAAATAAAGGAATTCACACACTTAAGCAGAACCAGTCATTAGATCGACCAGTTTTTGATAATGCTTCAAACCAAACCCCTCTTGCAAATCATGTCTCCTTTGAAAGTCCAGGTAATTCTACACCAGTTGTGGACCTAGATATTCCTATTGCTCTAAGAAAAGGGAAAAGAACATGTACTTCTCATCCTATATCAAACTATATGTGCTATAGCAAATTGTCTCCTTCCTATCGAGCCTTTTTTTACTAATCTGACCAATGTAGCAATTCCCAAGTCAATCCAAGAACCAATGAGTATTCCATAATGGAGGACAGGAGTTATGGAGGAGATCAAAGCACTGGAGAAAAAATGGAACCTGGGAATGTGCATCAATACCGAAAGGAAAGAAGATAATGGGGTGCAAGTGGGTGTTTACAGTGAAGTATAATTCGGATGGTTCAATTGAAATGTTCAAGGCTCGCTTAGTTGCAAAAGGATTCACACAATCCTATAGGATAGACTACCAAGAAACCTTTGCCCTCGTAGCAAAGCTCAACACTATTCGCGTTCTTCTTTCTGTTGCTGCTAATTTAGACTGAAAAATTTCCTAACTTGAGGTAAAAAATGCTTTTCTTAATGGATAATTGGCAGAGGAAGGTTTTATGGATGTCCCTCCTAGTTTTGAAGATGTTTATAGTACTGATACGGTGTGCAGACTGAAAAAATCCCTCTATAGATTGAAATAGTCTTCTAGAGCCTGGTTTGATCGATTTTCAAAGATGGTGAAGAGATACGACTACACTCAAGCTCAAACTGGTCATACTTTATTCTTTAGGAAATCTCAAGAGGGGAAAATTGCAGTCCTAATTGTGTACGTTGACGATATCCTACTTACAGGAGATGATACAGCCGAAGGAGAAAGAATGAAGAAGGTTCTAGCCGAAGAATTTGAAATTAAGAATCTCGGGCCTATGAAGTACTTTCTCAGTATGGAAGTTGTAAGATCAAAGAAAGAAATTTATGTGTCACTAAGGAAATATATTATTGACTTAAGGAGACATGTTTTATGGGGAGTAAACCAGCAGAAACACCGATTGAAGAGAATCACAAGCTGGGATATAAGAAAGGAAAGGTCCCTGTTGATAGAGGAAGATACCAGAGGTTGGTTGGGTATTTAATTTATCTGTCCCATACACGACCTGATATTACCTATGTTGTTAATGTGGTCAGCCAATTTATGCACGATCCATATGAGAAACATCTCGGAGTTGTTCACCGCATTTTAAGATATCTAAAAAGAACTCCTGGAAAGGGGTTGTTTTTCAAGAAAAATGATTCAAAGAAGATAGAGGCATTCACTGATGCATATTGGGCTGGGTCAACTAGTGATAGATGGTCTACTACTAGGTACTGTACATTTATATGGGGTAACCTAGTGACTTGGAGAAGCAAAAAACAACCACTGGTGGCAAGGAGCAGTGTTGGGGCTGAACTTCGAGCTCTTGCACAAGGAATATGTGAACTTCTATGGTTAAGAAGGGTCATGAATAAGCTATCACTTCAAAGTGAGAATCCTATGCTACTGTATTGTGACAACAAGTCAACAATTATTATTGCTCACAATCCAACTCACTATGACCGCACTAAGCACGTAGAAGTGGATAGGCATTTCATCAAAGAGATGATTGAAGGACTTGTGTGTATACCTTACGTTACATCCAAATGACAACTTGCTGATTTTTTAACCAGAGGTTTACCACGAATCAAGTTTGAAGAACATTTATCCAAGTTGGACATGATTGACATCCATGCTCCAACTTGAGGGGGAGTGTTAGAAGGACACGTTTAGTTCCTATTATTTAGGAAAGTCTATTTTTCAGAAAATAGTTGTAATCTTTGAAAAGTTGACTTAGTTACTGATTTGTAGCAGTAGATTAGGAGTTAGTTTCCTTTTTTTCTCTAACTAATTGCAACCTAAGTGTATATAAAAGAGGTTGATTACCTCTCATAATTATAATAAAAAATTAACGACCGAGTATTCTGAAACCTACCGATTTCCACACTTACTCTTATTGGCATATGATGAAAGTTGCTATGATGATGAAGCATCATTAGCCTAGAGAATTGTTCCCCACTTCCCCACTTCAACTCTACAATTTTCAGAATGAAGATTATGGCATATATCAAATGCAAGACTATTATATTGGCTTCCTTGAATTATTTGTGTATTGACTTTAGTAGAGTAGTTAGTGTTAGTTAATTAGTTCAGCATTTGTGTCTTGCTTTCTTATAAAACATACCTCAACATCTCTCATAGGAATTGAGTCACTTTTCTTAACAAAACATGTAAGCCTTCAGATAAATATTTTATACCTATACAGTAAAGTCAATCTTAGTGAAATATAGGTGTGTACGACCACTAACCGATTATCATCTAACAAAGTATGAAATAGCAATATTATTGACAACTCTAATGAGAATTAGGGATTTGATAATTTCCCAGTGATGACCTGATTATGGCACAGTATGGAATCGATTGTTCTTGGTAATTTTATGTATGATGACACTACAAAACAAACTTGAAAAATGTTTCTTGAAAATAAGGAAGCAGAATGCATCCCAAGTTCTCAAGCCTATCAGAATATTTTCAATGTCAAACAAGAAGATAAAAAGCCTAAAGGATTGTTGTAGCCACTTTAAAGATATGATTAATGAACTCAATCAACACTATCCCCTTATCATGTTTCTAAAGAATCCTGGTTATCTGATTTCTTCTTTAAAACTACGAGGTCAACTCCTTAGTGTCAAAGGCTGTTTTGGGTCTCTTCAAGATGAGTTTTCTAGATTATGTCAAGTCATCCCTTCTTTGTCTACATCTCTGACAGTCCTCTTCATGAGAGTTGTGCATTCATTGGTTACTCCTACGTTCCTATGGATCCTGGTAGTCCTAGTACACAAAATATATGTGTGCAAATGTTACTTTTTTTAAAATTACAACATGTTTTTTACACCTACTTCGTGAGGGACGAAACTTATGGATGTTCATCAGCAACAATAACATCTGTAGAAACCAATATTAATTATTAACATTATTTAAGGTCTATCAACATGGGAAAAATTAATATGCATATGAGCATGCCACCTACACAATTCATATATTTTTTACACCTACTTCGTGAGGGACGAAGCTAATAGCGTCAGCGGCCCTTCCGCAATGATATTACCCAATAGCGGTAACATGTTGCGTAATATGCGCTTTTCACTTGCAAAAACAGCCAATAGCATGTTGCAGCGGTGAATAGCGGGCCGCTGCAAATCCGCTTTTTGACCGTTATTTAAAAGCGATTTTAGGTTTTTTTAATTAAACCAGACCAGCACTTGCAAGTCTCGATGTTTTAAGTCATTACTAGTCATGGTTTTTTTTCCTCTCTTGAGTCTACCCCTCACGATCCAACTCTAAAAAAATCCTAGGCCCCAAAAAGGTCGCTGCCTCCCATCGCATTACGCTACCTCACGCGAGTTTTAGCATCTCCCTACCGCCTCTCACCTCCTCCCATAGCCTTCGACACCTCCCTCGCACCTCCTCTCACCGCAACAGCACCTCCTTTCACCTCCTCTTGTCGTAAGCGCCTCCTATTATAGTCCTCTCATCGCTCGCCTCATCTTCTTGAAGACAACGACTCTTCGATGATAGTTACATGTCTATTTCATGCTTAGGATCTTTTCAAATCATCAAATATAGATTTTTAGATTTTCTAGATTTTTCTTTAATTTTTTAAATATTTGTACATATTTAAATTAGACCGCTTTTTGACTTTGAGCTTTTTGCTGCTATTTTACCACAATAGCTCCAAATAGCCTTAGTGGTGCGTGCCTCACCACTATGCGACGCTATTTGCTATCAATAACATTGTAAGGCACTTCGGTTGATCCTAGGGAATAGCACAGATTGATGAAAAACTCATTTAGATCATAATGACTCACCTTGTTATTACATTTGTTTTAGACTTTTAGTCATTTGAGTTAATATATATAGATTCTACATAGACCTTAACAGAATGCAATCTATTGTGTGTTGTGGTATCCTTATGACACCCCTAACAAGACACTCTCTTATCGTTTCTAAGGTCATTTTGATGTAATTTGTTATTTGAATATTGATTATACAGATGATATTCCCGATCATTGGTTTTCCTTATGGCTATTTAGTTTTTGCAGGACTTGACCAAAGTAAGAAGCATACCGTTGTTCAATCTAATATTGAGGATGAATATCGAGTTATTGCTCATGCTTTCACTTAGATGGTGTGAGTTTAGCCTCTCCTTCGGGAGACCGATGTGTTTGTTTGTATCTTCGACTATGGTGATACATTATTATAATAAGCATGAAAATTCTGACGTATCACCAGCGTGTGCAGATGTATTAGATCATCACTTCCTCTATGATATAGTGTTGGTTTAGGAAGATGTCGCATTCAATCTTTAGCTTGATGCTCAAATAGGTGATGACAGGATGTTTTCACCAAAATGTAATGTAGAGAGAAAAAAAAATTTACTTTTACATATGAAGTATGCATGATCTAAAATATGTATTAGCTTGGGAGGAGAGAGTATTAAATTAGTTAAACTCAATTTGATTAAATTGGTCCAGCTTTCAAAGTTTATGTAAAATTGTAGTTTATTCGCTTTCCTACAAGTAGTAACTGACCAACCCTTTCCATGATTTAGTCACTTCTCCTGATATAACGAACTAAAATGCAATTTTACTTAAATGAGAAATATCATCTACCCCATGTCTAAATCAAATATATGCCTAAAGTTCAGCCAATTTGCATTACAATGGTAAAGTTTTAATCTTTATAATTAAGACATCCTCGGGAAACATAAACTTACTTGAGGTTATCAGCATAGATCCTTCAGATATAAACTTACCTGAAAAGAAATGGCCTTAATCGAGGGAAAAGGAATTCAACTTACATCCCCTTCAGTTGCAGTCCTGGGAATAGCTCCCACAAAGAGTTTGACTAAACTGCCCCCACCACTACCGTCTAACAAAAATAACCAAAAATTAGAAATTAGGGCTTGGTTACAAACACTAATACGGTAACCACAAGAACTTGAAATTGCCTCTCACTGGACCATGAAACCCTCTGCCAACTCCAGCGGGGCCCAGGCGAAACCCGGGACCACCTCCGGTGCGGTAGTCCTGCGGAC